GTGGACAGTCTCATTTGGTTTCATGGTCAAATCACAAAGCATGCCCCGAATTAGTTGCACTTCAGGCTTTGGCTTTGCTTCGCATCCGGCCTCTGCCAAGTACACTCCGTTGCCTCTGCGCGAATCGAATGCCGATGGAGTGAGTCGCATAATCGAAACGAGACGGCATCGATCCTTTAAACCACAGTGTCCAGGGTCCGTGTCACAATCTTTGTCTCTGCCCCTCTCTCTCTCTCTCTCACTCTCTCTCTCTCTCTCTACCAGGCTTAGAACATTTTGAAAAGGGCGTCTTGCCGCACCTGTGTATGGCAAGGTGTAATCTTCCTTGATCTAAGGGGCCTTCTTGTGCACCAAGCCAGCTACCTCCACCCTTTCAAAGGAAAAAAAACGCGACTGGGTGTCAAATGAAGGGTTCCTGGTGTCCTGGTGTCCTTTTGGCGGCATGAATGAGTATTGCTACTTGGGAATCAATTTTATTGGGGGACCCTTAGGTGGGCATCACTCCATCAACTCTGAGAATCGGGCAACCCACAGGTGATGCCTTTTGGCTTCCCTTTCAGACCCCAAAGGTGGCCAAGCCTCAAAGACGACACTCCCATTTGCCACCAAATACTGATGGACAAAATCCAATTCGCACCAAAGAACCCTGGTTTCTGACGATTCAAAGATGCCGATTTCTTTCATTCAACCGTGGTGACTCCTTTCGTGGTGCCTTTTTGAGAGGATTTCGCACGACCATGCAGGGTATGGTTTGGCTCTCTGAGCGCAGGACCATACAGAGTGCCCGCATTGCTCCCCGCCAGGTTCAGCCGGAAATCGCCTTCGGTGATCCCCTCCTCGCCGGCCATGGAGGTGCCGTGGTAGAGCCTCGAGAACGCGGGTAGGCAAACGCCGGGGAGAGGAAAGCCGGGGAGAAGAAGAAAAATAAAATGCAAAAACACGGGACCTCCGAAATTGCCGGGGCGCCAGGTTTAGAGAGGGAGAGAGGGAAAGAGGGAAAGAGAGAGAACACAGAGTGAGAGAAAGAGTGAGCGAGAGCGAGAGAAGACAGAGAGAGCAAGAGAGAGCGAGAGCGAGAGCAAGAGCGAGAGCAAGAGCGAGAGCAAGAGCGAGAAAAAGCCAGCAGCTCAAAGCCGGAAAAAGTGTGAAAGGAAAGCCCCAGAGAATATATCATATATATATATGTATAAAGAGAGAGAGAGAGAGAGAGAGAGCGAGAGAGATACTTTTTATCGTCAATACAAAAAATCCAGCGGATTCACCACAGAGCCAGGAAGCCAGTGCTCGTTCACGCCACTTGGAAACTCCTCGGACACGAACCACTTCTCCGCAGTTCCCTTGGTGCAGACGTCCGTGCGCAGCTCCCCCGTCCATGCCGGGCCCTTCTCAGAGAGATCCGAGGAAACCGCCTCCCGCCCAACCGGAGTGGGAAGTTGGAGGTCTGGGTGTGTCTTACCTCCCTTGGCGGGGTGGTTTAAAGGCAAAAGCACCGGGAATCTGCGGATTCTAGAGGTTCCCCGGCAAAAAATGAGCCACACCCAGCCAGACCCACCCAAAAGTCAGACCTTCCCTTCCCCCCAAAAAAAACCAAGGATGTCCTCCTTGGCTCCGCTTTCCGCTTCCCGACTTCTCCCTTCCCAGCCCCCCCAGAGGGCCTTGCGCTTGGTCGCGTACTCCAGCCAGGACCCGCAGTTCAGCACGCGCTCCACCGCCTGGAGCTCCAAGGCCTCAGCGACGGGACGCGGAAAAACCGGTCGGCTCTCCCAGGCGAGTCCGAAATGGAAGCGCCATGGAACGGACCCAAAAAAGGGGAAGACGAGGGAACCCATTTACAGTGGAACCTGGGAGCCTCCATGAGTTTTTTTTTTGTGAGGGAGTGTAACAATCCAAGTAGGCAGGGAAATCGCAAGGTACCTTGTCTCCCTCCCACATACTGTGGATGGTTGCGAAATGTTCATTTCGCACCACGCAAGAAACTCTGGTATCTGATGATGCCCCTGTAAACACTCCAACAATGGTTCCAAGTGGTGCGAAATGAATTTCGTCCATCCACACTAGCACCTGACAGGGAATTGGTACCTTCAATAGGAAATTAATCTTGGTACCTCCCCACAAGTGCCATGTTGGCGGGAGGAAGGGTAGCATACCTCGTGTATATACCTAGCGGTGGTTCTAATGGAGTTTCAAGGAAAACCTCCAGGTACCACACCTAGTGGTGCCAAACAAAAGAACACGAGGGGATTTGGGGATAGTGGCAACCATGCATGAATAGAAATGTGGTGTGACATAAGTTGGACTTAGCGTGGTACAACATCCCCATTTGGGGTTTGCCATCCTCTTGAGTTGCAGAGAGGGGAAGAGTGCCAAATGCTGGTTCTCAGTGTGGCATGAGGGAATGACCCCAAACTGATGGTTTCCTCTCAGGAAATGTAACCTGCAAGTAATTCCTGTTCTAATTGAAATCTTGCAGCTCGGCCGCCAAGCACTAGGGACCCGAGTCATGCGGGAAAATGCTGAATGATGATACCCTAAGTCTAGCAGTCTTAGAAGTGAACAAGAGGCCTTTCCAGAATCCTGTGCACTTCAAGCGTTGGAAAGAGGGCAATCCACCGAACCAATTGTTGGACAGGAGTCAATGTATTGTGTTGGGTCATTTGACCCCATCCTTCAAGTCTTGATCGAACCAACATTCCTTGACAGGGGTATCTCCCTGGGTTCTCTGGGCCCCTAATTCACCCCAGGCTGCCAAAAAAAAGGTCAGCCTGGGAAACGGATACGTCCGCGTTTGGTGCAAATATCCCTTGTGGGTAGAACATTCAAAATGGTGGTGAATAAGGACATTCCAAACTTGTAAACCAACATCTGAACTAGTCGTGGTTAAATCGATTTTGGGTTGGAAGGACAAAAAACCAGCCGCGGCCGGCCTCCGGCACTTTGCCCTTCTTGCGGTCCCGCGTGTAACGCTTCAGGAAGGTGTTCTCGAACAGCCCCTGGATCCACTCCTTACCCGAGCCAGAAGATCCAAGCACATCAAAAGACAGGAGAAGGCCAACACGGCATCTAAACAGCAGAAGGAAACGGCCCAAAAAAAAATGAGGGAAAGACTAAAGCACAACCATACATACATCCATATCCACTATGTATAGATATATATATATATATATTTCTCATATGAAAAGAAGCCGCTGCCAAGGCTCGAAGCAGGGGCTCTCCTTGGGCACCAGCTGCTTGATCACGAGGTCTCCCCCAGAGAACACGATCTGCTCGATGCCTTCGCCTTTGAGGCCGTTCTCCAACAGCTCCAGGAGGTTCCAGCCGCTGGGGATACACAGCTCCTGGGAATCTCAAGTGTTTTGCATCCCGCCGTCCAAAGGAAAGCTGGGTAGTTAACTCCTCCGAAGTTTCTCTGGGTGTGTCTGTGCGTGTGTGCTTTTTAGGGGACCCCCCAAGATGGTGGATGTCGTTTTGGCCTTCCTTTTGAACAAACAACAAAGCATACCCCCCCCCAAAAAAAAAAGAGCTTGTGGTGGAGTTGCTTGAACCGCGGACCAACGATCAAATCCGGGCAAACCACCAAACCACTGAACCTTTGAAACCAGCCAGAAACAGCCTGGTCCATTTGGCACCCTTTGGGAAGTGTTACCAAAAGGAGTCCTCATAATTTTGTCAACCAGTCTAAAGGAACAAACTTGGAAGCTCCGTGACCTTTCCAGAGTTGCTTCAGATTCAGAGAGAGGGAGCCATGGGAAGGTGACCCTGAATGCTTACTGACCCGAAAACGTGTTGCTGATGGTCACTAGGCAGCAATGGCTACCCTTGCAAGTGGGCTCATCTGTCTCGCATTTCAGTCCTAGGCATTGAAAGAAACACAGATGCGCCTCCTTTTTCGCTGGTACAACGATATTGTTGGAGAGTATCCAGCAAAGTAACTCACACGAAATTGGCCCAAGGCTATGTTTAAAGCCACCAAGAAGCGGAATACAGGGAACCCCATCCAACCATCCCGTTTTCTTCGCTCCTGGGAGTAGGCCTCTGCCACCGCCCGCAGGTGCTCCCGCGACACCCCGGCCGCCAGCCCCGCCAGCACTGCTGCGCCCGAATCAGCATCGCCGGAGGCCTGGAGGGCCAAAGCCGTGACCTATATGGAACTGACAGCAGAACTCGCTGTGAGGAGTGACGCAAATGGAATGGAATGGAATGGAATGGAATGGAATGGAATGGGATGGAATGCAAATGCAAATGCAAATGCAAATGCAAATGCAAATGCCATTGCGAAAGTAAATGCTAAAGTAAAAATGGCCTCATTAAAATGTAAATGTACATGTGATGCAATGTAAATGTACATGTGATGTAATGTAATGTAATGCCGTGTAATGCAATGTAATGCAATGTAAAGCAATGTAATGCAATGTAACGCAATGTAATGCAATGTATTTCAATGCAATGTATTTCAATACAATGTGTTTCAATGCAATGCAGTGCAATGCAGTGCAGTGCAATGCAGTGCAATGCAATGCAATGTAATGTGATGTATGTTTGCAGGTGGTTAACCACTGTTGTATTCTGCAATTTATGTGTACGCAGGCAGAAAATACAGCATATGGGCATATGGGTCTATCTCAAGACGTCCAATGTTCGTCAAGGAACCCCGTGCAAATCCCCACACCCAATAAAAGCCTTTAGCACATGGGCCTTACGAGTTGTCCATTGGATTCTGGCTAAAGAATCTGCTTTTACTTCCCAGGGATTCTCACGGCACCCTGGAAGGACATGGTGGGAATGCATGTCCAACCACTTGTGAGGTGGTTCAATAAAATTCCTCCTTTTGTCCCGGTCCCATCTCCCGAAACCCGAGTTGATTGAACTGGAATGATCAAGCGAACAAGTCAAAATGACACCAACGGTCCGAAAATGAACCGCGATTGCGCCATGTGCATTCGGGTAATCATATATTTCGACCAGCAAGCCTTTCCCGAAAATGAGGGAGAGCTCACCCATTGGGATGATGCCCAAAAGCCCAAATCTTTGTCCATGACAGGTATAAGTTATAGTCAAGACCTGGTAAAGACGTCTGCCGAAAACACTAGAGACTTCTGGTTGAAGCCGTCCCCCATCAAGCGGGTCTGTCCACAGCCCTTAAGGAATGGAAGGACCTGCGTGCTCGTTTCACCCCCCGGATGAGTAAGCTCGTTGTGAAATAGGAAGATATATAAAGGCCGGCCCCATATTGTGCTCCTTTACAGCAAGCCAAGAAGTGTACCTTCCAAAAACCAACACATGCATGTATGACATTACATTAAATTACATTAAATTACATTATATTACAGTACATTACATTGCATTACATTGCATGTCATTGCATGTCATTGCATTGCATTGCATTGCATTGCATTGCATTGCATTGCATTGCATTGCATTGCATTGCATTGCATTGCATTGCATTGCATTGCATTGCATTGCATTGCATTGCATTGCATTACATACATACATACATACATACATACATACATACATACATACATACATACATACATACATACATTACTTAAATTACATACATACATTCCATTACGTTACGTTACGTTACATTACATTACATTACGTTACGTTACATTACATTACATTACAATTCCATTATATATTGCATCACATTGCATTGCATTGCATTACATTACGTTACATGACACTACATTGCACTACATTACATTACATTGCATCACATTCACTACCTTACGCTACATACATACAAAAAAATGCATATATATATATATATACCTGTAATATGTATACGTATTAGATATTGACTGCTCCTGTTTTGTCGGACCCCACCGGGCCTTGCCAGCCAGCACCTCGGAAATCAGCCCCGCCACGATGAACATGCCGTAGCGCGCCGCGTCTGACCTGATCTTCTTTTCTCCGCCTCAGATTGGCCAATCCCACCCGGTCTGACCGGTTTGGGGACCCGACCAGTTGTGGGAAGGAAGGCAGTTGGTTTCCCTTTCTAGAGACCAAACCACGTGCCCCTGGGCAGGTACCCCTGATATCCACTGGGAAATATGGCTGTATGGCCATGGGTCAAAATCCCGTACCTCCAGTGAACATCCCAATCCCCACTAGAATAGACTAAAATGGGTGGTGCACCTACCCCAAAATGGGACTGTTGGTTTTGACCCATATACCTTTTATGTACCTCGTATTTGGCAGGGGCACCTCAGAATTACATAGTTGGATATACCCCAGACCACCTGTGGATGGTGGAAAAGATCGATTCACCCTCTCACCCACACCAACAGACGTAGGGGGTCCTGTCGAAGGGAAATCAAAAAAACAACCTGCAGCCCAGTTGGGTCCGTAGTGTCTCAGATGTATGTCAACCACCTCCAAGCCGGAATATACTACGCTTTGGCCGATACGTTTCTTCTTGTGTCTTTTGTTTCTTGGGGTGTTCTTTTCCCCCCCCCCCCCCGCGAAATGGGCCCTTGTCAATACACGATACATTCAAAAAACGAATAGGGGGCTGTTGTGACGTATCCCGGACGGAGTTCCCCTATTGATTCCAAACTGTTTTACGCCATATTTTGTCATAAGCCCAAAAGTGCGTCTTCAAGCGGTGCATGGCCGGGTAACTGCAATGGCTGATGATTCCAGAACCGGAAACTCATTCGGCCAGCCATGACGAATGTGCAGCTCCTGCGGGAGCTATGTTGCACACTACTCTGCCAGATCCTGCTTGCATTCCGGCTCAAAGTATTCTGCAGAAAGCTCACTACACCTGAACCACTGGAAAATGGCAAAGGGGGGTCTTAGCAACAAGTGACTCAGGGTGTTTTCACCATGGCGAATATTTTATCACCCCACGATGAGCGACCAACTGTTCGGCTAATTGTGAAATTGAGTCCCCAGCTTTGGAAGCGAGAGCAAGTTGACCATAGACTATTGGAACTGGCCCCAGAAAACAATTGCCAGTCCCGTTCGGTCGTAAGTTAGTTGGCCATGGGTCAAATCCCCTACCCCAGTGAACATCCCAATCCCCACTAGAATAGACACCTACCCCAAAATGGTACCATTGATTTTGACCCACAGCCAGTTAAAGGGAAACAACCAATTCCGGTTTCTGACAAGGACAACCTTCAACAGCCAAAACAGTGATGTGTCTCACAGGGAGAGTTGCACCGTGGCAAAACCCGGTATTTTCGTGTGCCCGCAACTCCTGACATTCCCAGACCAACACACTATAAAGACATTGTTGTTTCGGGTCCGTTTGCTTTGTCACCAGGGGACACTTCCCCTCCGCTCCCCTCAAAGTGCCCCAACTGCTTCTTTATTGGGGTCGCAGCAAATCCCAACCTGCCACCCCACACATGGACCAGCAAACCTCCAGAGCTAAAGACTCTTGGGGAGGCTAAGCCAAGGGATAAGGTGTTCAGGGGTTCATACTGTGGATGGACAAAATCCTGCACCACCTAAGAAAGCCTGGAATGTTGATTCTCCTGGTAAATACCAGCAAACAAAGGTGTCTCATGGTTTCTTCGGTGGTGCCTAAGAGGATTTCGTCCATCCACAGTAGCTCATACCCGGACCCCTCCCAGAGAGAGCCAGGCGCTGCACACACCAGCCACCCAGCTGATGCGCGCATCCAACTCCTGGCGCAAAATCTCCCCCAAATTCGGCACATCCGCGCAGACCTCGGCGCCGATTTCGGCATCGATGGGCCCATGTTAGGTCGGTTCCATGCGGGTGTGTCTCCACGTGGAATCCACAAAAGGGGTTGGGTGTTCCTCCGACTTTATTTGCCCTTGAACCAAACCCGAAAAGGATACCCTCAGAACAAATACTCATTGGGAAGCTCAAGTCTGGCGAGTCACTTTCAAACCACCTTCCAAAAACACATTCTTGTTTCCAGGTGCCCGTATGTCTTTCCTTTTTGTTTCTTTGGGGGGGGGGGGGGGCGCGGGGTGGGCGGGGGGGGCGGGAGGGGGCAGCCACCCACCAAAAGGCGCCGGGCGCAATTTTTTTATCGCGCAAAACCAGCGCTCCCTCCCAGCCTCCAACAGCTTCAGCAGCTCCCAGAAATCGCTGCGCAACACCGAGCCGATGTCCTCGACTCGACTCGACTCGAAGGGGAGGGAGCCCTAGTTCAGCCCCAGTGAAGGCCTTAAGGCCTTATTTAGGGCTTATTTGGGCTCCCTCCCCCTCCTCCCTCCCCACCAGCCCCCATGATTCTTCTTTCGGACTCAGCCACCAATCCCATTGGCCGACCATGGCTGCGACGTCCGCGCGTAGGCACCGAGCAAAGAAACCGTGGAAGGATGAGATGTCCCAGTCAAGAAATGTGATGGCTTCAACCATGCGAACGGATTTCGCACCCCACGGTATTTGGGTGTCTTTTGTGAGATTGGACCCCCCCCCCAATCGGTGGTTTTCCTGTTGGTTTCCTTTCAAGCCACGAAAACAAGGCACCCTAAATGCGGAGTCTTAACGGTTACCCGAGGATTTCCCATGGATTGGCGGAAATCTTCTATAATGTCCCTCTAAACTGAAGCCTGAAAGTCGGAAAGTATTTCTGGGTATGGCTTTCGGTCTCCCTCTAAGCCTGAGAAGGCTACCGAGCCTCGACAAAAACATTTTGACCTGTATGCCAAGCCCGAACCAAGGCGGAAATATGCAACCAAAAGAAAGCGGCTACCACTGACCATGAAGTGCGGGTGACCGCTGCTTGTGCTCCCTGCCAGTTGTGCAGTCCCTTATCTGTGGAAGCACACAAGTCCAACGTTTGCCACGTTAATGGAACCTCAGATCTAGATCGGACGACCGGCTTGTTGATTTGTAGTTTGGGGTCTTCTGGCGACCACTAAGCATAGACAGCACCCCAAGTGGTGTTTCTCAAAGATAGGAATCGGTTCCCTGGAATTGTTGGTTTCCTTGTGGTTTCCCTTGAAATGCCAAGTAAAAGTGGGTCCACCATTTTGAGAACCCACCCCAAATCATCCACTGCCTATGCCAAAACTGCTCCGAGCAGCCGCCATGCTCTTGACCTTGATCTTGCCCGCCTCAGCTTTTCCGCAACTGTCACAATCTCCGCATCCCCAAAAAGAGATCAAGCCCATGTTTGCAACCCACCCCCAACTCCTGCGGTCCCCCCCACCCACCCGAACACCCTCCCCCCCCCCAAAAAAAAAAGAAAAGGCTCAGGTCATATCCCCAACAGCATGCGGTGCTCTTTGTGGTGCTCGCACCCCGCAGCCCTCGTGCAACCCTGGTGGAACCCTCGAACCTTACCTCAGGCCACCCGGAGCCTATCTGGCCAAAGCTTTCAGCTGTTGGGGGAAACGGAAAAAAAAAAAAGAAAAAAAAAAAAAAAAAAAAAAAAAAAAAAAAAAAACGACACCCCTCCCCCCCAAACCAAAAACCAAACAACAACAACCAAAAAAGGCCGAAAAAAAGAAACAGTCGGGTCTTTGTCTCCTCTCCGCAGCGTTTTTTGTCTTTGTCCCACCGCCCCCGCCTCCTCTCTGCCCAGATTCACCCGGGGGTTGGCCTCCGCGAACCGCTGCACCTCCTCCGCAAAGTCCCGCGCCGCCCCGGAGCTCAAGGCCTCCAACTTCCTTGGCCGAGCCAACCGAAATCGCGGGGGGGCCCGAGGAAAAAGCCATCCCAAAATGAAAAGGGGAAAAAAAGAGAAAATACCTAGAAGGGAGAAGAAAAGAGGCAAAAGAAGACGAAACCAGAAAAGAAGAAGAAAAAGAAGAAAGGGAAAAACAAAAAGAAGAAGAAAGAAGATCTGGTACCCCAAAACCCCGGGAAAAAAAATCGAGCCCAGACCCCCTCGCTCGGCCGGGCTTCTTTGGCAGCAGGGCCTCCACCACCTCCGAGGCCTTGCGTCCGCCCAGTTGGCTCTGCTCCAAGGTGCGCACGCGCTCGAAGAGCAGCGCCATGCGGATGAGTCGCAGGAACTCCCCGTCCGCGTCCTGCGCTCGTCGGCGTGCGGGGAGGGGCGTGGCTTCTCGTCGGGGTGGGGGTCGGGGGGTTCCCTGGATGTCCCGGTAAAAACCGGAAAGCCAACGTGGTTGTCCTCCCAAAAAACAGAAAAGCAAACCCAGATGTGTCCAAATAAGTCCACAGAAGGGTGCCAAGGGCACCTGCTTTAAGCTAAGAGTCCAAACAACTGGACTGCGATCTCAGGTCTACCAAAAGTCGACAACTTCTGGCTGAAATGGAAACTAGAACTACACCCAATGCATTAAAACTACAAGTCCTGGGAGCCAGATGGCTAGCCACCAAGGCTTGCTTGAACGATGTCCTTTGGGTTGTTACCAACCCATACCTCGAGCCAGCTTCTTGCTTAGTCAAACCTGAGGAAACCAGGGCTTCTGGCTTTACACTGGGAATCTGGCACCTTCGGCTTAAGGATTCACCTGGCTCCAGCCCTTCGGCTTCAGCCCATGGATTTGTTTTTTTTGTCCCCCCCCCCCCTGTTTCCAGCATCTCCGACTGAAATCTTTCAAAGGCTACCGGCACCCGCGGTTTGGTCTTTTTTCTCGCCAAGTCCTTGAGCTCGTCGTAGCTGCTGCAGATGTGCTCATACATGAGCCTTGCGCAAGGTGCTCGCAAGGCGACATTGGGAGGTGTATCCCGAGACCCAGGCACACCAGTCTCGATCTTGATCTCTCTCTCTCTCTCTCTCTCTCTCTTTGTGCACATAACTATCTATGTTTAAAAAAAAAATGACCTTCAAAGAGGAAAAAGCTAAAAGAAGGCCAGAACTGAAACAGCTATGAGTAATGCCACCCATCGGTCGCATCCTGAAACTATCCGAACCCACGTTTGATCTTATCACATTTGTGAATAGCAGGCTCGCCGGAAATGGACGAGGTACAGCTGAGCAACGTACTCGTGGTTCATGTGGGTCATAATAAAACCCAGCATGAAGGAAGGGGTCCACCCAAGGCAAACGCAAAGAATGCCAAGCGCTCCTTATTTATGGCTAATACTTTCCATGATATTCGGTCGGAATCCCATTTTTGGTGAGTAACCCCACATGTCCCAATGGTAGTTTGGTGAGTGTACGCCATGTCATCCCCTTTGCAGTAAATGATATTGTTGCATTGGCTGCACGACCGTCAAATCATATTGCTCCCGTTCCATTCTTGACTACCCCAAAGTAGACAAAAACCTGGGGGTGTCCCTTCAAGAAATCAACCACCTCTGGTTTAGGTCTACCTTGGGGTCCAAAAATGGGTATGGCTCAAAATTAAGAGCTACGGATACGCAGGTGTTAGTCTTTGGTGTTTTTCCCATTTACCAAGGTGCCATTTTAGGATTCCACTTCTTTGAGCCACAGCCAAATGGAACCCTGAAACTGCCCCCGATGGATTTCCCGCGTGCAGCGTAGCAGCTTCTCCAGCGACTGCTGGAGCTCCTCGCTGTGCTTCTTCGCACATTGGCTCGGCACGTCCCGCCCGGCGCGGTCGTTCACGTGCGCGAAGAGCGCTTCGGGGTATGCCTGGGCCAGCCTGGGGCAAGTGCTAGAGAGGGGGACACCAAAATCATGGTATGTCTAACTACCCCCTAGCTGACTACCCCCCCCCTTAGGGTCTTAATCAGGCCTTATTAGGGTAGTTGGCTAGGGGGTAGTCAGACATACCATGACAAAATGGGTTCCCTTCAAAAACAAGCACCAAATGGCTGTGGGTCCAAAAAATGGTACCACAATGGCAGCTTGGTAAATGGAAACAGAGACTAAAACCTGCGTAACCCCCAGCTTGAGCCGCACCCAAATGGGTGGGCGGTTCTTGGCTTCCCATACAAGAACTGCGGTTCCCTGGGGGTCACTTGATGAAATGCTCTTGCATCGCTTCCCTTCAGAGCGGGAAAAACCGGAAAAGAATGCCAAAACAAGAAAGGGTGAAAATATGTTTTTTTTCTGGTGTTCCTTGAAAAAACAGAAAACAAAATGTGGTAAACGTCACACAAAATGTCCGGAAATCGCAAGAGCGGCCGAATCCAATTCTGGCTGGGAATGGTTTCGATATTCGTCCTGGTGTGGGTGTCCATCCCAAAAAAACGTGAAATCCGTCAACCCATGGTTGACCAAAGGCTAAAACCCCAGAACGAACTTGTTGAAAAACAAAGGGAAATTATCAGAGGGTCAACGGTTTGCCTTGCCGTGATCAAAACCCGGTTGCCAGACACAAAGGAGCTGAGCTCCCCACATTTCCTCCTCAAATTCACGCCACCCAAAGGCAAGTCAATTCAATGTTGCAACCAATGGTAGATGATGATCGACAAAGGGCAATCTACTCGGACCCAAAGGACGAGGATGTTTCCCTTTACGAAACCCCTGGACAATGTGTGCTTCCCATTTAGACTAGACCGTTTTAACCCTTTTGCCTTCCACACGTTCAAGTCGCCTCCGCATGAGAAAGCCCAACAATTAAAAACTGTATGGGCCTTCCCACCCAAACATATCATGATGCACGAAAACCACTCCTCTCGGAAAGCGACTTCGTTGCGTAGGGCAAACAAAACATGGAAGCTGGCGATCGGATGGTTGTAAAAGACAACTTTCCTTTCCAGAAGTTCGTTGTCCACCGCCATGATGGTACAAAAGAGTAAAAGCTAAAAGTAACGATGGAAAACCTGCGATCTGCAGCTTGCACCCTTGACTGGCTGGGAAAGCCCCTTCTCCGGCAACTAAAACTGCCCGAATCTTTAGAAACCCAGAATCATAATTTTTGTCAGAGGTTCCCCATTTAAGCTCACTACCATTTAGAGAACCCCCCAAAGGTTTCGAAGCCGAGGATCTTCTCCACGAGCTTCAAGGGCATTTCCTTGTTCTCGGCCGCGTAGTGCAGCGGCAGGCGCTTGGCGTAGCTGGTCTTCAGACTCAGCTCCTTGCCCCACTCGGACAAAACCGCCCCGGAGCGCAGCAGATGCTCCACGAGGTGTTCCTGCCTTGGCGACGAAAAGCAAAGAAAAAAAACGGACGAAAGAAGGTGGGGCTTGTGCTTATCATTGGATAAAAAGGTGATTCGAACAAGGCGGCAATTATCATGCAGATGAAGAGCCAGGTAACTCAAGTAGGCGGCACGTATCATGGAGAACCAGCTTATTGAAGATAGGTAGCATTTATCATGGTTACTCATAGGGAGTATATATCATGGAGAGTCAGGCTACTAAAAATATAACCTGAACTCGCGGTTGTTGGGAGTGCGGGGTGTTGTTCTCCTTTCGGGGGCAAAGTTATAGGTAGTGCAGTAGTGCGTGGAGGTTTCAATAATTGGCGAACGTCGTCTCATTGGAAAAAGACTGCCAGCCCCGGATGATGTTGGTATGTGTGAAAACAGGGTGAGCCCTGCCCCAAAAAAAAAAACGCTGGCTTTCCTTTAAGCAAGGAAAAGGGAAAAGGACCCTCTTTCTCTCAGCTGACTGGCCCCAAACAGTCCAAACTGTTCAACCCTTGGCCAAAATGAAGGCCAAGTTGGCCGACAAAAAGCCGGACTCACCTTGATCAGCGGACAACCTTGAGGGTTGAACCACTTCAGCCCCTCTTTTGTGGCCCGAGCTGCAGGGGGTGCTGCTTGGCCCGGCACGCCGCGTGGATGGGCGCGAACTGCTGCCAGCCCTTGCGGCACCCGCTCTCTTCGCCTGGCTCCAGGCTGCTCACCTCATTGAGGTCCTGGCTATATGGCTGGAGCTCGAATGTCTTTCTTTCAAAAGAAACGGGCCCAACAAGGCTTGGTTTGCAGGGCAACCAAAAAGAAGACCACAACTTGTTGGGTACCCTAAGCCCCTTTCCAAGTTGGGACCCAACTTGAAGACAAACCAGCCAAAGGGAACCAAAACTGGCATCCGAAGAACACGCTTCATTAGGACAAACCAAGTCGAACCTGTGAAGATTGCAAAATGTGGGCAAATATGTTTGTGTGTGTGTGTGTGTCAAAATAGGGGGATCCTTAAATGGTGGTTGTCATCGTGGTCCCTTTCACCCCAACCTCCCAAATCTATATAGATGTATATGTGTATACATATATATATATATATATGTGCAATTCTATGCTACCCCCGCATGAAATACTCAGGTTTTGGGCCAGAACTGTGTTTTATTGGCAGACTGGGGGGTGACAAATGACTTGAGACTGAAATAAACTGACAGGCCACACAGCTCCATGCAAATTCCAATCAAGCAGAAGTTAAGCTCAACGTTAGCACAAGAGTAGTGCGCGATGTATGCTTTGGCAGCTTCAACGTGCCTAGCAGCTCTATTACTTGGCGTTTGTTTTTGTTTGGCGGGAAATTCAGAAAATCATCAACTTGGGGAAAAGGAATTCATTCCTACTTGCAACTGACATCAAAAATGAAATTACGTGTTAACTCAAGTGTTGTGCATTTACATGTTAATTCCCTGTACATTCTAATTCAGTCTGATTGAAACATGTTTTTTTCCAAAACCACTATCTCAGTTGTGTTTTGCTTGTCCAATTTGGTTCAACCATCGCCACGAACAACTATGAAAATTCAATCATAGGCATTTGTGTTAAGCGCGTTCGAGCTCAAACCAAATTCATGGTTCATCGCTTGCAGTTTCTTGCGCGTTTCAAAACTAAAACAAAAAATGGCGAACATAGCTATTGTCATGGCCAAATGAACTTGGAATCAAACTCAATTTCAAAACGGTGATTGTCCTCATCTAAGTCCATCTGGTTTTAACCAAGCAAGAACTGAGCCAAGCCAACGACAAACAAGTGTTTTCAAACATAGATCTCATTATTGGCATAAATGCTGTAAAGCCCGGTGCTTGTTCAGCATTTGCTCAGATCGTGTTGCCCTGGATCGAAGATCGAACATACAAGATTCTACAAACATATTTCTACAACATCCTCAATCCTGGCCCCTCAAAAGCTTGACAGTTTGTTCTAGACTCAGTAAGGTTTTGCCCCCTGCATTGAAGTTTGAAGATTTACCATATTTTGTATTTGAGAATCGTCCATCCTGGCCAGCCCTCAGGTCCACAAACAAACTGTAAAGGTGTCCCCACTGGCCAAATGCAGGCTGTGCATGTGCACCTCCACAATTTGATTATGTCAGCGTGCACTCCCAGTCTGCTAATCCAGGATGTGGCACGTGCTAAAAATGCTTGAAGATTCGCAGACCACTTGTTCTGGCAATCTTCAAGTGCATCCTTAGGACAAACTAATATGTGCTAGCACGTGCTAGGACATCCTGGATTGCCCTAAGTACAGATTTGAAGATTCCCAGAAAGGATGTCAGAAAATCGTCAATCTTCAATCTTCGATCCGGGATAAGCAAGCACGTGCTGGCACACCCTGGATTGCAGTAAGTACCGATGCTATAATTTAAGTCTAAAAAAGGAGGGCTGTTTCAGTGCCTCACTTTTAGAAGCTGGAGCGTGCGTTTACAGCCAAAATGTCAATGTCTGGCCAACAACCTGAGTACTCCAGGGGGGAGTACTATATATATATATATGTGGTCAGACCGCTCCCAAGATCTACCTTCCCTTCCTCTACATCAAAACACACCGGTAAAAGAATCAGTGTTTTGTGTATATACATGTATATGTATTTATACATATATATATATATATAAATGTATATGATGTGTGCAGCTCCGAAAGCCAAAGCGTTCAGGTGCGCACTTGCAAAAAAGCAAGCAAGCCACGCAGCATGAGAGCACTCCCTCGCTGAGGCGACAGAAGGTTTTCGGCTTTGCATGTATACATTGAATACGTATGCGTATACACATACGGAGAAAAACGATATGTATACACGTATATTATACATGTAGGTAGGTAGGTATGTATGTATGTATGTATGTATGCATGCATGCATGTATGTCTGTATCTATGTATGTATCTATGTATGTATCTATGTATCTATGTATCTATGTATCTATGTATCTATGTATCTATGTATCTATGTATGTATGTATGTATGTATGTATGTATGTATGTATGTATGTATGTATGTATGTATGTATGTATGTATGTATGTATGTATGTATGTATGTGTGTATGTGTATATGTTATATATATATATATATATATGTGTGTGAGCATGATGGACTACATGTGCATATATGAATTTCGTGGTGCGAACGGATTTCGCCCATCCACAGTATGAGGGGTCGCGGCTCTGGCGATCGAACCATTTGAGTCACAATGAACCTAGTACTAAAGGGCCTTTCTTGCAACAAAAAAAACGAAATGAATTTGCATCAACCTTACGGCCAGAACTGTCCCTAAGCTTCACTTGCCCAAATCGCTTTTGACTCATCTCCACTCCGTCCTTGACAGTGTCAAGCAGCAGCGAAATCATCTCGCGAGACTTCTCGTTGGGCCCAGCCAGCAAAGCGCCGCAGAGCAGATAAGCATTTCCTAGCCACGGGAAATGGGCCCACGGAAGCGTCACACTCCAAATCGAGAGTGATTTAAGTGACTTTTCCCCCAAAAGGATTGAAAGCACGGCACCAGAAAAAGACGTTTGATCTCTTAGACATGTGGCTGTGGGTCAAGACCAATGGTACCATTTTGGGGTGGGTGCACCGCCCATTTTAGTCTATTCTAGTGGGGATCGGGATGTTCACTTGGGGGTACGGGATTTTTACCCATGGCCATGGTTCAAGAATGGCAGCCGAAAACGGCTTCAAGTTCTCTGCTTGCAATTTGTTGGGGAGCCAAGCGTATAGGAACAATAACAGTCCCCCAAAATGGTTTGTTTCCAGCCAAAACGGGGAACCAAATGGATATGTGTAAAACTAGGGAAACCCAAATAGTGAATTTTGCTTGAAAAGGACCACATAAGTATGCCCTATTAATGAGCGGGGCAGAATTGGGTGTCCATGTGCCAACGGATTGCTACTCACTTGTTACTGCCGACTTGAGAGCCGCGACCCCTCGCTTGCCTGGAATCTTGTGCTGATCGACCAGCAGCTGCATGGTTTCCACATCCCCGGCCACAACGAACTCCATCATCCCCTCCTGCGCTTCGAATCAAAAACCCGGTTCAAAAACAGAACATGCCCAGGTGGGTATGTGGGTGTGTCTGTTTTTGGAGAACCCCTTCTGGTTGGTTTGAAGGGGCAACCAAAAGAAGAGCTATTCTTGGACCCATGTGTCCAAATACGGAAGCCCAAGACAAAATGGCCCTCTTCCCGTCCCTTCAACTTCACCCCAAAGATCTTCCAAAAAACCGCAGAGCCTTTGAGGTGGGCATGGCACTTCTGGCGAAAGAAATGAGGACCCTACCGGTTACCACCCCCCCAAAGCCCAAAGACTCGACGCGAGGCCGCTGAAGCTTTTTGGAAGGTGGTTTGGGACTCCCAAGGGCAGAACAAGACCTCATTCAGGTCTTTGGGAGAGGTCCTAAAAGGTCTTGGTCTCCTAGAAAGCTGCTCCGAACCACAGCCCATCTACTCAAAATCCCCGAGGCTTTGAGCTGGGGAACAAAGAGCCTGATCTTTGACCGACAAAAAGCCTCGGCCGGATCACGGACCATCAGCGCACGGGGCAAACTCCGTGTCAAAAACCAGGAACCCAGGCAAATGGCTGGTTTCTGATTATCTCTGATTTGGTTCCCCTTGAAAGCAATCCAGACACGGGTGAAACGATTTGGACGTAAACCGTATATTAAACCCTTCAACTAAACTGCAATGAACAACCGCAACCCAAAAAGATCCCCACCCAGGCACAGCCTCCCAACTTGTTGGGATTGGAAGCCGGAAAAAACCCCAACTTGTCACTGCCATTTGCGCTATGTTTCCCTTTTTCAAGTGGGTGCCCTCCAAAAACGATTCGCTGACACGCCCACTTCCTTGCTACTTGGGACTTCGACCCCGAAGAGAATCCTGCAGGAGCAGCGTGGAGAAGTTGTACTTGAGAGCGCGAGGCACCAGCAGCACCACGCATTCCCAGTGCCTGCAAAATGGCCGAATGCCCATTCTGTGCGGAAAAAGAACGGGGCTTAAACCCATCCCAACGATCGAATGTCGCGCTAGGAGCTTCCCTTGGTGAAAGCGGCAACCTCAACCCGACTTTCTAGCATGGCCTGGAAACGGCCGAGCACGCCCCACTTCGTCCGGTTTGCAAAAGGGGGCCATGGTACGACTTGATTGAAGGCACCCTCCTTGCCTTTCGAGCGTTTGAAGGGAACCAAAGGCGAAGCCGCTCCATACTGTGGATGCTTGCGACATCCTCTTAGGCACCACCGTTCGGACACCCTGGTTTCTATTCGATTCCCCAACGTAAATACCAGCAAACATTCTGGTTTCAAGCCATGGCTTCATTTCGATGATTGCGGAGTTTCTGGGGTCCCGGTGGTGCAGGAATTCGTCTATCCACAGAATGGTTTGCTTCTAGAGGGCAAGGACGTACCACAGCGCCTATACTTTTATCAGGGCCTTCGGAGCCCGCCTCCCCTCCACAGCGTGGATGAGCGGATTCACCTCCGGGTCATTCCTCCAAGCCGACCATCTTATGACTCGGAGCTGCCCACAAAAGGGATAAAAAGGGAGCCACCCAACATCAGATTATGTTTTTTAGGGGGCACCATGCGGACGGCCTGGCCAGCCTCCAAATTCGATGTTTCGATGTGCAAGGTCAACTCTTGGATGTCTAACATGCAACGTGGCTAACAACCCCCTGTGTGTTAGCAAAGCAAGGCATCGCTATGACGGTTGGAGAGACTCTTTGATTCCACCCCCGTAAAGAACCAACCAAAGCACTTGCAAAATAGGACCTGAAAAGAGGCTTGTCCATACTTAGTGTTTAGCTCACTTCCTGAGTGGACTCGCCAAAACAAGTCTAAACTCTTTGTTTGCCACTCAAATGGTCTTTCCAAAGAGTTTAAAGGCCGGAAATTGAGGGAGTGAGTTGGAGGAGACCCCAGTGTTGGCAAGCAAAAGAGTGTCCTTTTGGTTGAGGGGCGACGTACCTGAAAGTTCCCTTACCGTGCTTTTGGAACAGACTCTTAAAAAAACGGCCGCCTGGGATGCCGGAAAGAGATTTCTCGTTCTTCGGAGCCGATGCTTTTTTGGGAAGAAGGGGGGGGGGCTGGTTTATGGCTGAAGGGGCTGTCTCGCTCGGGGGCGGAAGGGGTCGATTCTGGCGTCACTGATCAGTTTAGAGTGTGGGCTTCAGGCAACAAAAGCAGAAAGCCCTTATGTTTCCCCCCGGAACGCCCAAAAATGACCCTCAACAAAATGACCCACCCGTACTTGCCTCCTGAAATGGTGGAACAGGCCAATTGAAAGTGAGTCTTTTGCTCGAGTTGCCCTCCAGGACGGTTGGGCATGGGCAACGAGGCCTGGGAATCCTGTGTGATCCCCTTTGAAGCGCCGGCTTGGGCATAGGACGAGTTTAAGGTTTGTCTTTCAACCAGGGGAGGGAGCTATAACTTCCAACCCAAGAAATGGCCATGGGTCAAAATCCAAATCGAACCCCCAGCGAACCTCCCAATCCAAGCACTAAAATCGGAAGCCGAACATGGATGAATTCACCTACCTTCCCCATGAGATCCCAAAACAGTTTTGACAACCACAGCTACGTGTTCTTTCATTTTTGGGACCCTTAGGATTCTTCCAGGTCAATTTTCACTGGTCTACCATTTAGAGAACTCCCCCGCTGTTGGAAGCCGCAAAAATCCATGAATTCACCTACCCTCCCCCATAAAAATCAAAAAAATCCCCCAAAACGGGGGGAGGGGGGGGTGTTGACACCCACCTTCCCCATACAAATCCGACCAAAAACGGGGGGAAGTTTTGAGTTTGGACGACCCCCAACTCCCCAAATCCGCGTTTCGCCCTTCCGCCGCTTTTTTCCCCGCGGCCTCCCGATGAAGGGCTTCACCCCGGCGTCCAGCAGCGCCTCCAGGGCCTCGCTCTGGCCGCTCCTCGCCGCCGCGCAGCTGGCCTCCTTGGCGCCGTGCTTCCCCACGCACCTCACGGGCCCCCGCTCTTTTCCCAAAACGGCCTGGTTTGGGTGGTTGGTTTTTTGGTTCTTGGTTTTTTGGTTTTTGGTTTTTTGGTTCTTGGTTTTTTGGTTTTTGGTTTTTTGGTTCTTGGTTTTTTGGTTTTGGGTTTTTTGGTTCTTGGTTTTTTGGTTCTTGGTTTTTTGGTTCTTGGTTTTTTGGTTCTTGGTTTTTTGGTTTTTGGTTTTTTGGTTTTTGGTTTTTTGGTTTTTGGTTTTTTGGTTCTTGGTTTTTTGGTTCTTGGTTTTTTGGTTTTTGGTTTTTTGGTTCTTGGTTGTTTGGTTCTTGGTTTTTTGGTTCTTGGTTTTTTGGTTTTGGGTTTTTTGGTTCTTGGTTTTTTGGTTCTTGGTTTTTTGGTTTTTGGTTTTTTGGTTTTTGGTTTTTTGGTTCTTGGTTTTTTGGTTTTGGGTTTTTTGGTTCTTGGTTTTTTGGTTCTTGGTTTTTTGGTTTTGGTATTTGGTTCTTGGTTTTTTGGTTCTTGGTTTTTTGGTTCTTGGTTTTTTGGTTTTTGGTTTTTTGGTTCTTGGTTTTTTGTTTTGGGTGTTTTGGTTCTTGGATTTTTGGTTCTTGGTTTTTTGGTTTTTGGTTTTATGGTTTTTGGTTTTTTGGTTCTTGGTTTTTTGGTTTTGGTTTTTTGGTTCTTGGTTCTTTGGTTTTTGGTTTGTTGGTTCTTGGTTTTTTGGTTTTGGGTTTTTTGGTTCTTGGTTTTTTGGTTCTTGGTTTTTTGGTTCTTGGTTTTTTGGTTTGGGGTTTTTTGGTTCTTGGTTTTTTGGTTTTGGTTTTTTGGTTCTTGGTTTTTTGGTTTTGGGTTTTTTGGTTCTTGGTTTTTTGGTTCTTGTTTTTTTGGTTTTGGGTTTTTTGGTTCTTGGTTTTTTGGTTTTTGGTTTCTTGGTTCTTGGTTTTTTGGTTTTGGGTTTTTTGGTTCTTGGTTTTTTGGTTCTTGGGTTTTTGGTTTTTGGTTTTTTGGTTCTTGGTTTTTTGGTTCTTGGTTTTTTGGTTTTTGGATTTTTGGTTCTTGGTTTTTTGGTTTTTGGTTTTTTGGTTCTTGGTTTTTTGGTTTTTGGTTTTTTGGTTCTTGGTTTTTTGGTTTTTGGTTGTTGGGTTCTTGGTTTTTTTTGGTTTTGGTTTTTTGGTTCTTGGTTTTTTGGTTTTGGGTGTTTTGGTTCTTGGTTTCTTGGTTCTTGGTTTTTTGTTTTTGGTTTTTTGGTTCTTGGTTTTTTGGTTTTTGGTTTTTTGGTTCTTGGTTTTTTGGTTTTGGGTTTTTTGGTTCTTGGTTTTTTGGTTTTGGTGTGTTGGTTCTTGGTTTTTTGGTTTTTGGTTTTTTGGTTCTTGGTTTTTTGGTTCTTGGTTTTTTGGTTTTTGGTTTCTTGGTTCTTGGTTTTTTGGTTTTGGGTTTTTTGGTTCTTGGTTTTTTGGTTCTTGGTTTTTTGGTTTTTGGTTTTTTGGTTTTTGGTTTTTTGGTTCTTGGTTTTTTGGTTTTGGTTTTTTGGTTCTTGGTTTTTTGGTTTTGGTTTTTTGGTTCTTGGTTTTTTGGTTCTTGGGTTTTTGGTTTTTGGTTTTTTGGTTCTTGGTTTTTTGGTTCTTGGTTTTTTGGTTTTTGGATTTTTGGTTCTTGGTTTTTTGGTTTTTGGTTTTTTGGTTCTTGGTTTTTTGGTTTTTGGTTTTTTGGTTCTTGGTTTTTTGGTTTTTGGTTGTTGGGTTCTTGGTTTTTTTTGGTTTTGGTTTTTTGGTTCTTGGTTTTTTGGTTTTGGGTGTTTTGGTTCTTGGTTTTTTGGTTCTTGGTTTTTTGGTTTTTGTTTTTTGGTTTTTGGTTCTTTGGTTCTTGGTTTGTTGGTTTTTGGTTTTTTGGTTCTTGGTTTTTTGGTTTTGTTTTTTTGGTTCTTGTTTTTTTGGTTCTTGGTTTTTTTGTTTTGGTTTTTTGGTTCTTGGTTTTTTGGTTTTTGGTTTTTTGGTTCTTGGTTTTTTGGTTCTTGGTTTTTTGGTTCTTGGTTTTTTGGTTTTTGGTTTTTTGGTTCTTGGTTTTTTGGTTTTTGGTTTTTTGGTTCTTGGTTTTTTGGTTTTTGGTTTTTTGGTTCTTGGTTTTTTGGTTTTTTGTTTTTTGGTTCTTGGTTTTTTGGTTTTTGGTTTTTTGGTTTTGGGTTTTTGGTTTTTGGTTTTTTGGTTTTTGGTTTTTGGGTGTTGGTGTTTTGGTTTTGGGCTTTTTGCTTCCCAATCCTCAAGCAATGGTTTGGTTTTTGCTGGGTCACAATCACAAGCGCCTGGATGGATGGATCCACGGGTCTGGCGGTCGGGGCGGGTTGTTCTACCGGGTGCCGAAAAAGGTGAGGCAGAATCAGAAACCCGGTAGTAAAATGGTTGACCCAGAAACAATGTAAAGAATTACCTGCATCATCACAAAACCACCAGTGAGTGGCAGCATCCAATCTCAGATGGCAGGGGAAAAGTGATTCTGCCAATTGTACCAGCATTAAAATGGTCGTAATCCCAGAAACCATGCTTCAAGAATTTTCGAAAGCGGAGATCCGCAGCGAGTTTTATAGTTGGGATTGTCCCTTACAAACCTTCATCTAGCCGGGTTTTGATTGTGGCTCACCTGGGGATGGCACGGACAGCACGGGTCCGGTCTGGCTGTCGGGTCGGGTGGGCGCCGGGCGCCGAAACACCGAAACAGGAACACCGCAGGCCGTCCATTTGGGTTTTGGCCCGAAGCCCGGAAAGAAAGCAGCTAGCACAGGAGCTGCCTGGCTTCCCTAAAAGTGGTCTTTAAAGTTTTTACCGGCGGCTTCGATTGAGACGATCGGACACCACTTCAGGTTCCAATTGAAATGGCTCCCTGGTGGAAGCCAAGGCTTCTGTGGAACGAAAACCAAGGAGAAACGCCGCTCGGTCACCTTCGACTCCGCGGGTTCGAGAAGGAAGCCCTTAGTTCAGACGCTTAGGGGGTAAACGGGAAACGGAACACGTCCAAACCGCGCAAATCCAAACCGTGCATTCTGAATGGTGACCCAAAGAAGAAACAAACAAAAAAACACACACAAGAAGATGTGTTTCATTTGGGGAGTCGTCAATGGTCTTGTTTAGAAAATACGAAGCCAAGCTTTTGCAGGTTTCATTCAAACTCCAAATCCACATAACCCTTCCAAACCCAAATTTGAGTGATTGCATTGCGGGTTTTCTCTAAAACAACCACCAAAAAAAACGGTAGCAACTCCAAAAACAATCTCAACATTGGGGTGGAGGCCGAAACAGACAGGGTTGTCTGGTAAAGGAGGACGCCCTTTCAAAAAAGAAACAGAATACGTGATTTCCTTTTGCCGTCCCTGCAAACAAACCTCGAGCAGGCCTAAGCAAAGACACGCTGGCCCAAACTATTCCACCACTATCAAAGTCACCCCCGAATGGGTAGTTTAAAGGGACACCCCAGTTTCTGACTTTGCTAACCCCAGAAATGGTCAAGAACCCCAGACGCACCCAAAAGACCCAAAGGGCCCATAGTTCCGTCCTCCACAAAGAATTGTGGCCAACCTTCTCCAGGGCACTTCGTCCACTGGGCCACCAGGGTTTTGACGCCCAGCGCGTCCCCCTTCGCCGCCAAGTTATTGAGCTCCTCGAAGAAGGCGTCCTGAAGGTTTCTCGTCCGATCTGATCCGACCGTCCCAGTTCGGGACTGGGAACCAGCACCGAACTGAGTCGGTTTTGGCTTTTTTTTTGGGGGGCCCCACCCCCCGTATGCTTGCCTGTTGTTCAAAGGGATTCCAAACGGAAACCAACCATTTTGCGAATCCCCGGCATTCTGAGCAAAAAAACAACAGCTCTCTGAACAAAGGCAATGGACCTCACCTTGGCCGTCAAAACCCAGGCATTGGTAGAGGAATCTCCGTTGGGGCGACCTGAGTTTGGGAAGCCGTTTTGAGAAAGGGATTCATATGGACACACACCATACAACATTGACCCATTGAGGCCCTCAAGGGGAATCCTGCTTGACTGTTCAACAAATTGCATGTGTTCCTTTCAACTTCCCTTCAAACCAACCTATAACAAGATGGGCCCCTCAATAAGAACGAGCCCATATGGGTGTTTCTTCAGCATAGGGGTGGCCTGAAACGGTTGTTGTTCCGAGTTAGGTCACTCGAGGCCAATCACCATGTTTAGAAACGCCAGTATGGGTGCGAATTTTTTTTAAAGGGGACCCTTTTGTGGACATTTAGGTGGGGATTCATGTCCACCCACCTAAATCAGGCGGTTCCAACCACGAAAAAATCCCCGAGGCCATATGTCTAGACGATTTGTGTGTGTGGTTGCGTGTTTGTTTTGTGAGTGGACCCTGCAAAACGGCGGTTTTCCTGTTGGATTCCATGTTGAAACCCAGACCAAAAAAAAAAAAACGAGCCTCAAAAAAAAAGGTGCCCAGCAATGGCGCCCAGTCCTGGCATTCTTGGTCCCCACGGCTGGCTTTGTCAGCTATAGAGTCCGGCGCCGCCTCTTTGTGGCTGGGCGCCTCATGCGTCCTCCAGATGGAACTTCCACTATCCCCAGGCCACGCCCCACAGGGGTTTGAAGAGATATACAAGCACTATATGAAGGATACTTGTATATATAATACAATGATCTGTGTATATACACATACATACATATATATATATATACAGATATGTATATATGTATATATATATATACATACATATATACATATATACATATATGTATCCTGTTTCTTTTCCAGGCAGTGATTGCGGGTATTGGGCACAATCTTAGATCCATGTCACGCTTGCAAATGGGTGTATGTCCAAAGAGCCTTTCTTTTGGACTTCCCTTTGAGACCGCCCCCAGAAGAATTGGCACCGAGCCTGAAATTTAGACACCCACATGATGTCGTGTGTCCCAGCGGCCAAGGAGTGGGGCGTCTGTTCTTGAGGGTACCCTTTTGGGGTTGGTTTAAACGGAAACCAAAGGAAAACCACAACTTTGGGGGGTCTGAAAAACGCCGACCCAGAAATATGACGCTGATTTTGTTCATGACTCTGCTAGCATTGGCCTCGCAGTTGTGTCGACACAAGGGATGCACCCCTTCCGCCAGCGCCCAAAACCCCTGCACTTTTCTAGCACCCCTTCAGGCCTTGCTGCAAACCCGCTACACGGCTTGAGAGGGTGTGATAACATGTGCGCCGTTCCAGCAAACAGGGTACACGGTGTTGCATGGTTACATCCATCCCCAATAGGCGCAACTGCGTGTCTAAAAAATAAAAATAAAATTATTGAAAAAAAAAGAAGAAAAAAACTTAAAACGGTACCCGCAAGAAACAACCACACGCCAATCTCCTCTCGCGAGCGCGAGGTTTTGCAGCTCCGCTGCCCATTTTTGGCCAATGGACTTCAGATGGGTCCCTTGTGCCGCGGTCGGTTTTTTCTGCTTTCAGGCTCTGCCAGGTGGGGCTTGAGACCACATGACCGTCGGTCACTTTTCGCATGTGGGAACTGTCGATGGTTGCGAAGCCATCGTTTTGGTAGCATTCCCCAATGGTCATCCTATGTAAAGGACCTTTTGATCAACCCCCATTTTAAGCCACGGTCAATATTCATAGTGCAGCTAACAATGATATTAGATGTGGATGAAAGTCTCCATTTTGCTCTGATAAGCTGGTCAGCGTTCCCAATGTCATCCCCCCTACAGTACACGGTGAACATGAGCAGTTCAAGCCAAAGTGGCATGCAGTTGGTGCATGGATGCTCTCGCCGCAAACAAACGGTTGCGCTCGAACGAATCGCAAAAGTTGAGACCCTGTGAAGGTCAAAGATGCACTAAATACTGCGAGTCGGAAAACGGCAGAACACTGTATCGACCGCCATTTACTATACCACATTTTGTTGGCCAAGACGAAAGAGAAGAAAGAAAGACGTGGTTGTCAGATCTTCCGAAGCCGCCCGAAAGGGTCACTGATGGGAGCTTCCTCACATATGAAACCCCGACTTCCGCCGCATGGCCAGCGCTGCCAAGTACCACTGGACTGGGCAACCAGGGTTTCCTACCTCCAGCACGTAACAGCTTTCCCTGGTCCACTAGCACCGTGGAAGCATTGGTTCGGTGAGCCGAAATGAGGTTGTTCTGACTACATAGGTTCTAGGATGCTACACATCACCCTGAGCCATCGGAACGCAGAACCGCTCCTGTCTGGAGATTTCGGAAACATCTTGTTCACTTCTCGCATTGGACCTCAAGCAAAGAGACAGAGCCTTCCTGGAATCAGAGGCCCTGACACAAGTTGACTCCGTTGGTGAAGAAACCCAAAAGGCTGAAAAGTCGGGGGCAAAATCCTGATCCATCGAAGGCTGGCCTTTGGATTGCTATCTGCCAATCAAGTCAAGGACCCTTCAAGCTGCGGAAAAAACACCATGGGTTTGAGGACCAAATTGAACGGGTCCCAATGTTTGAACTCTTATTCCCTTGGTTTTACTCTTCCATTTACAGTGCCACAAAAGTGTTGCCTCCTTTTGAACAGCCCTCAAAAAATGAGGCGCCCAAATTAATATGCCTGGGAGGAGAGTGATAAACACCCCCCGAACAATCTCACGCCGTGACCGGACTTTCAGGGGCGTTCGCTCCGTCCCAGCATCACCAGCCTCAGGCTAGGCGAAGAAAAAAGCAAAACTCGGATTACAAACTGGGTTAGCTCTAGTGAGGACTCTCGACTTCCAACTCAATTCGATACAATTCTAATCAGGCTCGAACTCTAGCATTTAAAGCCAACTTGCACTGGAGAGATCCTCCAAGGAAAAACGTGAACTTTATCGCTGAACGAAAGTTGTCAAAACTTATAAATCGGATGGCGTTCCATTTTAAGAACCACCATCATGGTCCCCTCTTTTGAGAACCCACCTGAAAATGATTTTCCATTGGCCCTGAGGGCTATACTCTGAGAAAATGTGGCGAGCTTGGATGGTCAAGCTGAGTGCTTGCTCACAGCGGAAGCCAGATCGTATACAATCCGGTGCTTCAGCTCCATGTTTTACACGGGAGAGCACTCCAGGCAATGCAGAGTCGGCTGCAAGTGCAACATCCGCAAAGAATGCCTGCTGCGAATAATGTGATCCAACTTGGGTGTGGGTCAAAAAAGGAATCCCAAAAATGGAACCCTCGTTTCCATGGAAACCAGCACATTTCAAGCTGTGGTCCTCTTTCACCTAAATCGACACCCAAATCCTATCAGCAATCTTCGGACCCACGTAGTGGTCGCATGCCGTCGTATCACCTTGCAGCCCCCGCAGAACCACGTTCGGAGCTCGAACCTTGGATCGTACGTCGCGAAGCCCATGAGTTCCCGAGTCCCCATGGGCAACAAAAAGAAAACGCGGCGGTTGCAGCTTACAATGGACTGATACATGGTTGAAAAGAAACTGACTACTTGAGAAGTGTCAATGGACCAGGGACCAAGTCACCACATGTGCAGCTCAGAAACGGCTTGGGCCACATCCAAAGCTGTGTTGCCTTGTCAGGGCGCGACTTGGATCAACAGAACCCAATTGCTACATCTACTGCATACATCGTACATAGAATCTACCAGCCCTCAGCCAGTTGGTAGTTTCACCCCTGTCAAACATAGGTCAATCGGGGAAAAACTCTGTCCGTTACGGAATGGATGGGTTTCTCTGATCACATCCGTTGATTTTGTGCTTCCTCTTGCCTGCGGAGTTTCTCATCGTCGCGTCAGCACCTGCTGCGATGAGAATGGCAGAGGCGCTGAAGTTGCAACTGGCTAAGCTGCAAATGAGGGGAGTCGCGCCCATCAAATTTGTGAGGAAGAAGTGGAGGTCACGGCCGTGACGCGCATCCAACCACTTCGCCAGCTTCGCCAGAAGCCGGAACTGAATTCGCATTCCCGGGGTAAACTGGAGCTTTTCGTTGATGTTTGCACCTGGTTGCGAGAAAGAAAAACTAGACCACGGCTGGCCCGAAAGCATCACAGCCCCGTGATCATTCCCGCGCAGGTTTTTGCTCGATGTGCAGTCTGCCAGCTACAAACAGGCATTACCTACAGCAAGGAGCTACAGCAAGAGGAGCTACAGCAAGAGGAGCAAGATGAACACTCACGCAGAAGCCACTTTGCAATAACGCTCATGATGACTCTGCACAATGACTCTCATGATGACGCTGTGCAGTGACGCTTTGGGCAGTTGCTCTGTGCAAGTTGCTCTGCGCAAATGCCTTGCGCATTTTTTCCATGCAAGTTGCTCTATGCTGCCAGAGCTGCCGGAATGTACTTCGCGTGCTGCCTTTGTACTTAAAAGTTGCGATTTTGCAGCCGGAGCTGTCAATGTGCACTCCGCGTACTACGACGGAAGTTGAAAGTTGCGAGTTTGCAGCCGGAGCTGCAGACGTGTACTCCGCGTACTACGTTTGCACTTACAAGTTGCGATTTTTGAGCCGGAGCTGTGGGAGTGCACTCCGCGCACTACGTTTGCATTTAGAAGTTGAATTTTTGAGCCGGAGCTGCAGAAGTGTACTCCGCGTACTACGTTTATACTCAAAAGTTACGATTTGCTGCGGGAGTGTCCTCCGCGTACTACGTTTGCACGTGAAAAATCCGATTTCTGTCTAGATAAGCTGCCGCGGACCAAGCAGGGATCAAACCCGCGACCGCGCGACTCCGAGAGCACGCGCGCAAACCACGCGACAATTTCCAAAGACCAGTTCGCAAGCAACAAAATCGCACAGCGCCACAGCGAGAGCGCTTCGCCACGCACGATCCCCGCAGAGGGTTCATCAAACGCTTTCCAAATTCGCACGGCGCAGCGAGAGCGCTTCAACCACGGCGATCTCCGCAAAGGGTCGCGCGGGAACCGCAGAAATCGTAAAAGGTCCTGCGCGTACAGATCAGAAATCGTAAAAAACCGCAGTTTTTTAACCTCAACCACGCCGATCTCCGCAGAGGGTTGATTTTCGTAGAGCGCTGTCGGGCCTACCCCGCCGCCCTAAGAAGAGAAGAAAGGAATTTAAAATTCTCATGAGCATTGCTCCGTGCCAGCAACTCTCACGAGCATTGCTCCTCTCAAGTAACTCTCATGAGCATTGCTCCTCGCCAGTGACTCTCACGAGCATTGCTCCTCGCCAGTGCCTCTCATGAGCATTGCTCCTCGCAAGTGACCTTCTGCGCAAAGACTCTGTGCAAATGACTCTGCGCAATGACTCTGAGCTATGACTCTGCGCAATGGCTCTAAAGATGATGATGACTCTGCGCAATGACGCTGATGATGATAACTCTTTGCAATGACTCTCATGATGATAACTCCCATGAACCCAACGGAAGAACCCTTCGCCATGCTTTCGGGAAAAAACATGTTGCAACCCTTCAAGATTTCAAAGGCAGCCGGCCTGCTCCCAACAACTCTGGTATGGTGAGTTCAGCTTGTCCCTCTGCCACCACCGCAAAATGCAATGCTTTCGCTCTGTCAATGTTGGGGAAAGCAGCGAGCAGCGCCCGCGCACTGTCTCTGGCTCCAAACGCACAGGCCGGCACCAGGGCAGTGTGCCCAAACCCATCCAAGATGCAGTGGTTGCATCCAGCCTGTCGAAAATGGAATGGAGGCTTGGGCTAAAAACTCCATCCAGAAATCAAAAGAAGTCCCATTGGATTTGGGGTGCCCCTTGTGTTGTTTGGTCTCCAAAGCCTGGACCAGCATCTGCACACCTTCCGCATTGTTTCCCATGCCAGCGCGAAGCAGAGGAGTGCCCTTAACAACGCTGTCTTGTTGATTCACATTGGCTCGCATCTCGATGAGCATAGCCATGGCAGAGTTGTTGCTGAACTGGGCACAAATGCTCAGCAACGACATGCCCTTCTCGATGTGATATCGTTGTTCGTTGGCTTGCACTCGTTCATCCACGTCCACTCGCATATCCAGCATTTCTTTCAGGACATGCGGATCACCGCGGAGAGCGGCAAAACATGCGGGGCTCCAACCGCATTGACGTTCACTCAGCTTCCTGAGCGGCCGAAGGCCCGAAAGCCGAGAGCTGGTGATCGAGCCCGAAACCCTGGAGCCTGCACAGGAACCCTGAAGCCTCCCAGGTCGCGTTTAAGACTTGGAGCCCTATGGCAACGTGAAACCTTGCATCTCATTTTGAGCCACGATCATCTACACCCCAGGCCCAGCAAGCGGTCATATCCCTCTTCAGATCATAGGGATCTTCCCAAACCCCATCTTCAACGTCCGACCCCCCTTCCCGAGTACGTACTTCGCAATGTCCCGCAAATATAGCGCCGGATGTCCTGTCCATGTCCTTTCCAATTTCAATTATTTTCGTGTGTCCTGTCCCTTCCTGTCCTGGGCCGGAACAAAAACAACGCAAAGCGGCAAGTCTCCTTTCATTTCTTCCCAAGTCCTTTCCAGTACTTCCCACGTCCCTTTCCTATTCCTATCCATATCAAGTCCATTTCAATTCCATACCTTTCTTTGAATCTTCTTTCCATTGTCTATGTCCAACTCCATTTCCTTCCAATTTCCTAGTCCTTCTATTTCCTTTCAATTTCGTGTCCAATTTCCTTTCTAGATCCTGCAATCTTTTTTTTCCATGTGCGCGTCTTTCCACTTACTATGTTCTTACGACTCCTTTCATTTTGCTTCTCATTTCTAATTGCTCCTTTCCATTCCTTTTCATTCCTTTCCATTCCCTTCCATTCCCTTCCACTCCCTTCCATTCACAGCCAGGCCGCCGCAAAGTGTAAAGAACCGTGAAGTGGCGAGTTCCTTTCAATGTTCTTCAGGTCGCTTTTCCATAATCATTTTCAACTTCATGTTTTGTTTAACTGTCCTATTTGTTTAATTCCTGTAGTCTTCCAGTTCTCCCGCACTCTTCGGGAACTCTTGCAGCCTTCCCGCCATCTTCCCAAACGCAACTTCCCTAATTTGCTAAATGCTTTTAATAAGAACAATTAGAAAAATGCGAAGAAAGGCCCTCGAATTTCCGAATTTATAGATGAACTAGAAAGTGTTTAACAACAAGCGGCGCTCGAGCGTTCTAGTTCTAGTCCAAAAAAAACATGCTACACAAAGAAACCTGATAGAAGCCACGAGCCCGAATGCATTCTGCCCTCTACCTTTTGGCTCGAAGATTGAAGTATCCTGGAGTAACGGAGATCGAGGGAAGCCAGCTGAAACCTAACCTTGAAGCCCTGGAATCTCTGAGCCCTCCCTAGCCAGGTCTGAGGCAATAGCATCGGGAGAATGGGTCTCTCGTTTTGAGGGTACCCGTGAGGCTATTTAAAACCAGAAGGGAACCAATCTTGAAGGTCCAAATCCCCACGAGACAAACCCTAATGACGGGTATCTTTTAACCGATGGGGTCCTGAGATTCGCAGGGAAACAGGCACCGGTCGCGTGTCACAAGCAGCCATGAATGCCATCTTTCGATTCGTTGTATTTGGAAATCCACATGAAAGTCCGTAAAAATCGTTGGCGTATCTTAACCTGCGGCTGGGAAAACTGTGCCTTTTCAAGCGGAAGCAGTTGCGGCAAGGCTCTCAAAGCCGTTCTCTTTCATGAAGTCCGCGAGCTTCAGCTTGCAGCTCTCTGGATCCTTGGCCGAAAACTGACCTGGCTGGCTCCTCCGCAAATAAATGTGCTTCAGGTTCAGCACCATGCGAAAGCCGTGCAGGTTTGCGTTCTCCAGGAGAGAAATGAGCTTCGAATGTAGCATCCCAGAAACCTGATGTTCCACCTGGGCAGTGGAGAGCAAATGGCAAGGCTTGAAGAGTTGAAGGATCCAAGCTTGACATGAAAGAAGCTATATCATGATACTTATCTTTGAAAACCGATGAATCAGTCACCAGATCCCTGTGGAACTGTGGAGCCCTGACCCAGCCCACCTTGTCCCTGTCACCTTCGACAGTGAATTCTCCCATGCACGCAGGCTTTAGCCACGAGTCAAAGGGTGTCATCACGTAGGAACGGTGCACGCTCTCAATGACCGCGATATTGGCATCTTCTGACAGAAACTCTCTGCACGCACGTTCGAATCTGCACCAACCACGTCTTTGCCAACTTTCCCGTGACAAGAGTTCCCCGGTATCTGCATGCACAGAGGGAACTAGCACCAAGAAATATTTGGATTTCTGGACATAGCTGCTGATACTCTGCACGGCATTTTGCAAATCCGGCAAAATTGCTTGCTCTGCACTGCGCGACACCAGCTGTGGGCATGAAAAGTAATCGTACCAAATGAACATGAAGTGGCTGTGCCAGTCCTTGGTTGAAATGTATTCTCCATGACCCAGCATAGCATAGGACATATGGGTCGACTTCAAAAGTGTCTGCCCTCCCATAAGATAGTCGAAGGCCCTCTGAAGAACCCGCAGTTGCTCAAACTTGAGATCTGGATGTGCAGATCCGGTCCACTGATGTGAGACAAAAAAGGCATCGCCCATCTGAGATTGAAACTCCACCAGAAGTCCTTGAGACACGAGCTCCTGGTGCGATTGAACTGACCTCATGTTCATAAAGTCTGCAAAAGAGACCACGTACATTGGAAAGTCGCCTGGCGGTCCCAATGGCTCGAAAAAAAGAAGAAAAAAAGTTGCATCCAGTTGGGGCTTACATGGGCAACCAGAGTCATCGATCTGGGAATGTGCCACACACCCCAAACATCTGGCGTTCGAGCCAAAGCAATCTCATCGAACCCACTCCCTTTTCTAGGGAATTATCACCACTAGACATATTTGTTTTTCCAGGGGACTTAAGCAAATTGAAATTATCGGTTTTGGTTCTAGCGTAGTTCTAGAGATTAATTCCCCATTCTTTTCAACCATCGTTCTTTCAATAACCAGCTGTTTCCCCAGGGTTTTGGGTGGTTTTGCAGAAAGATCCAGATGCCCGGGTTCAGAATGGAAATGGAAGGTACCCCTAGACCTTTGAACAGTTCCAATGTTCCCCCGTTCACCCAGGGCGTGGCTCCATGACCTGTGTGGCTCCGAGGGGCTGAGAAATCACAAATCACGGCAGTGTCCTTGCATTCATGATACCCCTTCGTGTCCATGTCCTTTTAGGTTGGAAATAGATGGGTTTCCCTGGTAGATGATTTAATCACCAGGTAAACCAGGAATCGCAATCTATTTTTCGAACAAAACAACCAACAAGGACATCTATGTTCGTGTCACGATCTTTCAGGCGAGATGTTCATTCATCACATCCATTGCATTCCAATCTTTCAGTCACCAAAACGGCTGCTGGTACGATACGGGTGACTTGACCCAACAACGGCCTCGTTTTGCCTCCGGGTCTTCCAAAGCTCTTTCGCACGACGCCAAAGCTCTGCGCAGACGCGCACTGACGTTGAGGGGCATGGCGCAGCAGGCGGGGTGCCGATCGCGCGAAGGTGCCAAAAGTGACTGGAGGTGGGGCGAGTGAACTGAATGCAGAATGACTTTGCGTGGCCTCAATTTGAGGCTACTGCTTTTAAAAGGTGGGCTCACCCATATGCGCGTTTGTTTTTTTGGTACCCGCAAAATGATGGTTTTCCTCTTGGTGTGCTTTTAAAGCCACCATGTGATTTGTGCGTCTGCACAATTCTGTTCTTGATGTTGGCTCGCCCCGTCGCAAGGCACGGAAAATGTCTGCGGCAAGTCAAGCCTTTCGACGTTTGCGGTGTGCACACTGGGTGCTTTGTCTTGCGAGAGACTCCCAAGACCAGATGGTCCTCTTGGTTTGTCTTTAGAACCACCCCAAAAACGCCAAAGAGCTGAAACAAACAAAGTTTTGTTGGCAATTGCAGCTGGAAATCTGACCCATTTGTACCTTCTTCTGGTTTCCTTTTGCCACTCGTCGGTCTGTGTTTTTCCCACCCTTCATTGGATATAAAATGATTTAGTGGGGAAAAGCGGGGGTGGGTGTGACAAAAATCAGATTCCACGTCTTTCAATACACCAGTGAGAATCTGTGAATTTCTCAAAATGGTGGTTGCCGTTGAAAGGGAAACCAAAGGGCACCCTTGCCATCCACGGTTTTTTTGTGAGTCCCAAACCCTTACCACTTTCTGTTGCAAAGGCAAAACTATCCTGGAATTGCCCTTGTTGCCTTGCACTTACCCTTGTTGCCTTACACTTACATTCATCACATTGAGAGTAAGACAAAAGATGTCGCTGTGCTACAAAAAACAATTCAACCACATACGGGGACATCTTTCTTCGACTCTCCATATTGTGAAACAAGTTTAAATCGCACTTGGCAATCGAACACGAGAACCCAAGAACCCGAGATTCCGGACAATCCAAAAATCGAGAACCCGAAAATCCGAGATTCGAAAATCCAAGAAATCGAGAACCTGAGAACCCGAAAATTTGAGAAACCGAGAATCCAGACAAAAGATACAAAACACCACCCATCCACAGAGCCAAAGTAAGAAATTGAAAATTGGGCAAGCAAACAACCAAAAGCGATCTCAGCAAATTAAAAACAGAACTAAACCACACAAAAGGTCGCACAAAAGCGAACGAACTCTAAGAAGTCAAGAATCCAAGAGCGAGAATCCGAGAACCACTGCACGCACACAGTCTCATTGCGCAAGCGTTCTTGGCACTGACTTCATATGAACTGTCTCATCCGTGACGTCTGCCAGCAAGCCTTCAAACTGTGTTGTAACATTCTCCACGTCCTTTCTGCAAGCAGCCGGGTGAGGTCTGTGAAGTCAGACCTGAAGCACAGAACCAAGTCTTTGCACTAGCCGTACTTCTGGCTCAAGGAGACGGCCTGTTGCCTTTCTCCGGAGCTCCAAAAGTTCATCGTTTCTGTGTCCCCGCGTGCGCTCTTTCCCGCGCCCCTCGCGCGCTGGGAGGCGCGCCCAAGGCAGAGTTCATCGCTTATTACGCACAGCGCAGCGGAGTTTATCGTTTCTGTGACACAGCGCTAACACAGCGCCCAAAAGCGCTCCTCCCCGCACGCGCTCTTTCCTGCGCCCCTTCCGCGTGCCCCTCTTCCCGCGTGCGCGAGGCAGAGTTCATCGCTCATTTGGCCAGCGCAGCGAGTGCTGTGACACAGTTCATCGTTTCTGCAACCCGAGAGTTTCCCAACTTGGGCACTGCATTTACCACGCGTTTGCCGATTCCGCCATCCAAGCCACAGGCTTTTGCTTGGCAACTGAGGCACCTCGAACTCATCGTTTCTGTGACAAACTTGTCGTTTCTGTAACACAACTCAGCTGACGAACTTATCGTTTCTGTAACGAACTCATCGCTTCTGTGACAGCCGTCGTTTCTATGACGAACTCATCGCAGGAGCAACCTCTTCCTCTAGCAGCGCGTGTGCCGCTGCCAGTCTTGAAGGAACCTGCTGCGCATGGGCGAATTAGGGAATATGTTTGCTTCTTGCCCCGAGGCAGCGGTCCGTGTCGAGCACGCGTCCCAGAACAATGTGGTATCGGACTACGGGGAGTTCAAACTCAAGTGTGTTGAATTGTTCTGCGGATAGCGTCGTATCAAACTTGCCAAGCTCCAGTGGCACTTCTCGCTCAAACAGAAGAGGACGTCAAATGCCCCACCCGTTTGAGTCCGTACAAGCCTCGGTTCACGTTCATTGTAGTGCACCGCGGCCTCAACCAATTGCACCGCCCGTCGTGTTCCAGCCAGCCGAAGGTTGGAACATCTGAGACAGTTGGCTGACAGGGGTAAGACACCTGAAACTGTGTCTCAGACCTGTCTCAGCAATAACAAGACAGCCAGCTGAAGATTGAGACACTTGAGACACGCCCTGAGACACTTCTGTTTGTGTTTTAGCTCAGCACGCCTATTCAAAGTGCCCGTTGCCACTGTGCCCGCTCGGCACGTCCTCACCTAAAAGTCCCGCTCGGCACGGCCTACCTTAAAGTGCCCGCTTGGCACGCCTTCTAAAGTGCCCGCTTGGCACGCCTTCTAAAGTGCCCGCTCGGCACTGTGCCCGCTCGGCACGTCTATCCTAAGTGCCCGAACGGCACTGTGATCGCCCGGCTCGGACACAACAGCAGCAGCATTAGCAGCAGCAACATCAGCATCCCTCGGCTCGGGTAAGGGTCATTGGAAGTTTTAGGCTTGGGCAATCGGCTCGGGTAGGTCACTAGGTTCTCGGCTCGGCTGAGGGTCAGGTTCTTTGGGTAAGTTTTTCGGCTTGGGTAAGGGTCATCAGGTTCCTCGGCCTGGGTACGGGTCAGAAGGTTCTCGGCTCGGGTAAGGGTCACTCGGCTTGGGTAAGGGTCAATAGGTTCTCGGGTCAGAATCATTTTTTGTCGAGCGAATGGCAGCTCTTTTCCTGTGGCAATTAGAGCCTCCGATTGCGGCGCATGTTCATCATGCTTTCATCATGCTTTGCATGCGGATATGACTGAACACAAGAACAATCCTCGCACGCTGCCTTCATATCCGCTGCACTTGAGACACTTGTGCACCTGTCTCCCACTCTTGTGGTGGGGACACTTCTCGTGCGTGTGACACACGTTGCCTGTTGGCAACATCCGGACCGGATTGATCCTCTTCCTCAGATCGCTACGTGCACTCACCTCCGGCTCGCTGTCGTTGGCCTCCTGAATCGTTGCCTTGCCGGAGATGATGATCTCCTTCTGAATCTTCTTGATGAAGAAACTCCACAGCCACTGCACCAGGCTCAAGGCTCCTATGCCGGCCAAAATGGCTAGCACCGGCCACATCCAGCTGTCGCTCTCTCGCTCCGTTGGGCTCGTTCTCCTCCTTGGTTCCACTCGCCCTGATCACGTTGGCGAATGCCACCACCAATGCCATGCGGTACTCATCCTTCAAGCCGCTGAGAATCTTCTTAGCGCCCTTGTCGCTCAGCATCTTGCGCTCGATGTCGCGGAACTCGTCCTTCCCGAGCTCGCGGTTGTCCTCGTCGACCATGCCCGTCACAAACATCAATCCTCTCATCCTGGCTCGTGCTAGCGCCTTGGTGCCGATGTCCGCGCTGTTGATACTCGTCGGAATCGCTGTCACCCTGATCACCTTCTCGTGGCATTTCTGCTGCAGCCACATCATGACTGCATCCAGGTGTCGGGTTCTGCCAATCCCGACTCGGCTGCACATTCCCGCGGGCCGCTGCTGTCTGACCTGCACACTAGGGTTGGTGTGTGGCCTCTGATGAAGGACCAAACATGCCGAAGAAAAAGTCCTTATCCAGAGACCATGGCCACGTACTCGCTCTCACCGCGAGATGCTTTTCTGGCTTCTCACTCTGCTCTCCATGAGGCTGCGTCGAGGAACACCTGGAAACTCGTGATGCTCTTTCTCGAGTTCTGGTCCCCCGCGTAGTCGCTGTCCGTGACAACCTCCATGAGGTGAACTTTCTTCACCTTGATCTCCTGCATCTCTCTCATGTCCAACATGGACTTCCCACACCTGCTGCTCTTGATGAGCAGTCCATAGAACTCCGTGCCAACCAAGTAGCTTGCCAAGTGCTCTGCATGCCTCCATGCCGTCTTCGTAGGCTTTGACATCCACGCAGCAAGGGCATTATAATGGCAAGCACTCTTTTCCCAATCGCTCCTCGCGCT